CCCCCCCCTATTCCAAACGACGAGCGCACAAAGTACATGTAACCAGGTGAGTTTTGTGAAGTCTTTAAATCATTTTTAAGCGTTGATATAAATACTTTGACTTCGAGGCAAGATGTTCGTGATGTGGGTTACGGACCACAAATCCAGGGGAGTGGTCTTTACCAAGACTGTACAACCCTTCTATCATCTCCGTTCTGTAATATGACACTGCGAAACGTAGATGGATGATATAGTATTGTTGATGATGGGTCTCTATGGTACCCTCCCAAACATTCACTGAAACTATTTCTGTAATTGTTTTACGGGGGTTTGTTCTGGTGAACTGTAGCACTCCAGATTTAGGCCTCGTGCACTGCACCACCATCAGTGAGAGGGGGAGGGGGGAAGAGGGTGGAAATTGATACGTCTTATTTGCAGTACGGAACGATGACGATTGAAAAATAATAAAAAGACAACTCACCCTCATGCACCCCTTTTTCGGGTGGAGCAACCCTCTCTCCCGCTCGCAGGAGGATGATGTAGCAGTGGCGACGGTGGGTGAGATATATATAAAATAAATAATCCACATCGTGACGACTGCGGAATCGACAAGAAAAACATGGCGCGTCTGTCTACGTCATCGCAACTTACGGGTTATTTCTCAAAGCAACAGACGGCAAAAAATCGTTTTTCATTACAGAGATGTTTGCTTAGACGAGAAAGACAAAGAAACGAGAGTCAGCGGTTTGAACGAGTTGTCATTTTGTGAGCGGTGTGACCAGCCCAGCCGGCCAGCCGAGCGGGTCAGCGGCGCACAGCGCGCAGCATTCATTCAGCAGCTACTGCTTGTATATCAAACCACATCAAAGGGGGGCAGCAGCGGCGGCCCTGCTGGGGCCCTGCCTGGCGCGGCCGATTTGAAAAAGAGCAGCTCCGACTAAGAAGCCTCGCAGATTATTTAGATAGCCTTCTCCATTCCAAATGATGTTGAAACCCACAAAGTTAGAGATGAAAGCCATAAGTCTCCCGCCCGGCGCGTCGTGTCTTCACCTCCCCCTTCCCCTCCTCCTACATGCTCGCCGCTTCAGAGTAAGACATCCCAGATGTGACGCCGTGCGTGCCTCACTACGTACACCGCGCAGCTAAATCCATCGCGACGGTCGAAACATTTCGCCTGTTTAACAAGATTTGCCTTTTACTTCGGTTGCAGCCGCCCCGGTCGACCCACGAAGCGTGTCTCCATGGGGTTGGCGCTGCCCGCCAGCCTGCAGGGACACCCGCAGATCAAGAAGCACCGCCTCGAGAACGGCGACATGTTCGAGAACGGTCACCTGGGAGGTGAGTAGTGTCGTGATGTCGAGCGGGACATGCAGCTGGCAAGAAGGGAGGGAAGGAAAGGGGGGTCTAGCGGAAAAATAGAGAGATACAGAAAAACGTGAAATTGGAGCTCAGTCAGGCCGCAAGAAGTTGGGGGAGAGGGCAGCCTCAATCAGATGAGCCTTGAACGCGGCACGACTTGGACCTAATCCGACCAATCGGATATCGCAGAGCGGGGAGTGGGAGGGAAGAAAGGGGGGGGGGGTAGAAGGGGTTGATCGGCTGAGGAGCACGGCGGCGAGCAAAGAGCCCAAGTCAAGGGGAAAGCTGAGCCAGCACGGGACGGCGGCCCAAGGAAAACAGAAGGAAAGTGAGGGGATGCCTCCCCCAAACCACACGCAAGTCGAACCGTCGCGCCGGCGGTTCCGGAAGGAGAAGAGGGGGAGGACACACGGCGCGGCGACGTGCACTTTTCTGCTTCTTTTCCCCTCATTTTTTTATGCGCGCTCGCGCCCGCAGCCACCACCGCATCCCTCCGGTCACGCGCTGCGCCCCCTCTCTCTCACTCCCTCTCGCGCTTTGCGACCCAAAGTCGGAAATCAGATGAAAACACTTGAGGAGGGGATGAAGACGCCCTGTATTTGCACAGCGCGTCGAAAAGCGCATCTCCCAGCGGGGCCGTAAAGGAGCCCCCAGGGGCGGCGGGGGGTGGCGGGCGACGGCGCACCCCGGGGCCACTCAGGGGGTGACAGGCGGGGAAGGGTTTGGGTCCACAGCCGGGAGCCTCACTCACACCACTCTCTCTCTCTTTCTAGGCCCGGACAAGTCCCCTCTGCTGTCCAACGGCTACAACGCGCCGCCGTCGCACCTGCAGGCAATGCAGCAGCTGTACCAGCACCCGCTACTGTCGCCGGGCCTGCCGCCCGGCATGCCGCCGCTGCCCGGCGGGCCCGGCCAGCACCAGCACCCCGCGGGCGGCGGCGGCGTGCCCCCGCACCCCGCGCTGCACCCCGCCATGCCCCCGGGCAAGCCGCCGCCGGGGCTCCCCGGCATGGAGGCGATAAGCAAGTGAGTGCCTCGCACGGTGCGCCTCGACATCGTTAGACTCACGCCGTGTGTGCCTTGTGCTTTACTTTACTTTTTCCCCCGCAGTTGGGAGACCTGTCGCGCGGCCTATGAGGACATCGTGAAGCACCTTGAAAGGTAAGCCGTTCGAAACATGTAGTTGCACCCCTGCAGTGCTACGTGGATAGTCCCCGCACGTTGACAGAGAAGGAATTTAATTTTGTTTATAAACAACCAGGTCCTTTCGCGGTAGTTTTGGAATGCCCCCAGGACGCGCTCGCGTTTGTGGCGCGAAAATTAAATGGTCGCATTCACCCCCCGCGGCAGAACAAAGGTTCCGGTGTGTTTTGTTTTAGCTTTGAAACAAGTGCGACGCGCGCAATAATTTCATTATTGGCCGCCGCTCGGCCGGCCGTATAGTTCTGTCGCACATTCCTCCCCCTCCCCAAACTCCGCATGCGGAACGGGAAACGCGACAATTTGCGACAGGTTTGGGGAGAAATCGAATGAACCAACACGCACACGCACGCACGAGCAGTGATTTCGCCTCCGTACCCATAACGTCATTACTCGTTTAGTACTTTTTTTTTGCTTTGTTTTCCGCTAACCGCGCGGTGTTGGGGGGACCTGTTGCAGGATACAGCAGGAGCGCGGCGAGGCGGAGGCGATAGACAACAGACCCCGGGACTTGACCTCCCATAACGGTGAGTGGCCGGGCAGTCGGACGTACGGGCTTACGTCGTACACTTGTATGAAATAAATGGCGAGAGGGGAGGAGGATAACCGTCGGGGTCCCATTTTATCCTTTAGGTTCCCCCAACGGCCACAGCCCAGTGCTCAACCTGTCCAAGGGCGGCGGCAGTGGCGGCGGCGCTGGCTCGCAGTCGGGGCCGTCCTCTCACGCCGACCACTCGGACAGCGACGCCTGCGCCTCGGACAAGGATGACGACGACGACGATGCCATCTCCAACCCCGAGGACGACGACGAGGCGCAACCGACGGGTGAGACACTGAGCAGGGCGCAATGGGCTCGGCACGCCGCTGCTTTCGAAGGGCGCCGCTTTCCTACTTTGTGGCCTTGTTGTTGCAGACCTGACGGACGGCCACAGCACCAGGGTGGGCAGCTCGCCGCCAGCCGGGTCGCCGCCGCCGTACGGCACCGGGGCCGGCGCCCTGGGGGCGGCCGCCGTCGGGAGCGCGGCCGTCGACCTGGCCGCCGGGAGCGGGGGCGGCGGTGGCGCGAGCGACGAGGAGGGCGGCGGCAGCAGCGGGGGTGGCAGCGCGGGCGGCGGCGCCGGCACCTGCGCCCTCGGCACCATCGCCCTGCTCCGCAACATCCAGCGCCTTCTCAAGGTGGCGGCGGAGAACGCCCGCGCCCAGGAGCAGCAGGTGGACCTGGACAGGGGTGAGTGACCTCATATACCTACCGGAGACCTAAACGCCACACACGCGCCAGCTGATGTCATCCTGATATCAGTGAAAGTGAAACCGCCGCGGCAGGGCAGAGGGAAAAGTTGACAAAGCGCGCGCTGACGTTTATATGACGGTGCGGGGCGGCCGTCCCCACGCGGAGCATACGCTGCTGACGGGCGTCGCGCCGCGTCCCCGGAGAGCGGTCAGAATACATCAAAGCGGCCGGGTCCAGCCCCCTCCCGCCCGATCATATCTCCGGGCCGCCGCCGTGGCGCGCCACCCCCGCAGGGCTACGCCTCGCCACGCCGCGCGCTCGCTTGACATCACGTCGACACCCCAAGCGTCCCCGCCCGCGCGCCACCCCTCCGTGTGTATAGCCATTCCACCACCCTGCGCGCCCTGCCTGCCGGCTGAGCAGCGCCCGTGGGGTCCCACAATCCGGATCAGTCACGGGATGCGCGCACTGCTCACGGCTATCTATCCATCTATCCTTCCATCCATCCCATCTATCCATCTATCTCTTATGTATCCCACCTGGCCACCTACCCCCCCC